CATAGTTAAGAACAAAGCCTATTGTAGCAAAATTTGAGTTAAATACACAATGGTTCGAGTTCATTACACAATAATACTGTTCCGGCTTACATACAAATTTGACTTAAGGACCACCTTGGGAATGGAACTCGTTCTTAAACTGGGGACTACCTGTATTTATTGTGCATTATTTAACCCTGCACCATATTGTACCTATTCTTACTCACTTTCAGTAAAGTACTGAAGATTTTGTTTGTATGCCCGTATGGAATCTCTTCCAAGGCATACTCATGGATGAAGTGGAGAGTCTAGCCTGGATTATAACTGTCTTTGTCTGGCAATTATAGATATATATAATTTCTCCAGTATCATACACAATGCATGTATGATACTGGAGAACAGAAATTTCCTGGTTTTTAAAGTATGCATAATTAGATAGCCATATTAAGCTAGTATGATTTTGCAAGACCCAGCTGCTCTGCTTCTTTCTCAGAGGGAATAACCAGAAGTTCTGCCTCTGAATGGTATTGTGTATTTTAATACAGGTGCTAATATTGGGCCTGGAGGAACTAATAAATGTTCACAACATTGAACGTCTCAAAAAGGATCTAAAGGTAATGTCTGACTGAACTGTTGCTAGAAACATGGAGAGAGGAGTAGGTGTAGACTATTATGAAAATGGAAGGCAAGAATGTGGGCTGCAGGGGAACTTTTACTTGGGACGTAACAAAGGATTCCAGCTTCATTTTTAGGAAATGTTTGCTTTTTTTCCCCTTTGGTTAGCTGAGAGACTTCTTGCTGCTGTTGCTTTTATATCAAATCTTACATAGAGGAACATTTTATGCCTACTCTTTGCCTTTAGAACCACCCACCTTTAGCTTGAGGCATAATGTCTTCTGCAGGCATGTAGGACTGTATTACATCAAGAATTTGATAGCAAATGGAAGATAAACAGTGAATTAGTGGTAGCAGATTTTTCTTACTGTTCACTGCCTAAATGTTTAGTGTAATATTGTCATCCTTGGCCATTTAAATATTTCTTGCATAATTCTCTAGACATGTTATAAACTGATCGACAGTTTCCTGGAGCCAGGCAACAGCTGTGCTGATCTGACTCAGTGTGTGGAATGCACTGTGATGCCCTCCAGAGCAATTCTGCAGGTGAGGCCATCTAATTTTCTTCTCCTTCTCCAGCAGGTCTCAACATATTCAGTCTTTCAGTCTGGGATTTTAAAGCTGATGGAGTCTGGAAAAATATATCTATGAGCATTTTCTCCATCATAAATTAACTTAGAAATGTGGAGTATTTCAGATCTGAAGCTTTAGCTCAGGCATGGACATGCATGTTGCACCTGTTGCTGCCTCCTTAAAGAAGCAACATCTTTTCTGGAGTTGTACAGTAGCTGTTCAATGCCAGGAAAATATAAGTGGTTGTAAATGAAGTGTTGATAGTGCACATGTGCCCACGCTAAAGTCATTTGTTGCATCTTATCTGTGCTTTCTTAACTTAAAGGCATATTTAGTGGCTATAGAGGAAACCCACAAAGACATCATTTCTTTAAGGAGCTGCTGACTGAAATGGTTTGTGTGCGCCCATACCCAGCACAAAGTTTTATTGTGACATAAGATACAAAGTGCTGCACATTCCTGCTGAACTGCATATGTTTCTCTTGCTTTGTCTTCACTATACTGTTCTCTGTGGTATTTCATCTTTTGCTTATCCATGATGCTCCTGCTATCATCTGTTTGTATTCATCTGTATCTCCTAATGGATACATAGAGTTGCAAACTGAGAGAGAAGGCTAAGTTGGAGAAGAAATATCTAAAGGAGAAGCCTCCTATTCTGGAAAAAAAATTTTTTTTTCGAGAGATGGAATGTAGTCATCTCTAACAAAAATGCAGCAAGCCCATGTTATTCATAGTCACTATTCTTATATTGCTGGGAATAGTCCTGGTAGCACTGGGCAGTGTACAACCAGTACTGACTCAAGATACCTGTCTGAAGATAAATAAATACCATTGCTTTGCTATTTGATGAATCCAGTCTCATCCTTCTGGAGTTTAGTTCTGTAAGTGGACTAGTCCTTCAGTTTATTCCAGAACTACAAGTTACAAAGGTGTTCATTCCTCTTTGCCTGCCTCTCCCCCACAATCACTTTGTATTATCAAAGCAAATGAAGAATTGTCTGTCTACCAAAAATACTGGCTAGATTTCTAGCATTAGCAGGAAATAGTGTTTTGCTGTACATATTTGTTTCCCTCCCAAAATATACAAGGAGTCAAGATCATTTGAAAGTAGATGGAAAGCTGAGGAGTGAAGCAGAACTGGATAAAAGATAGTAAGAGGTAGAAGGAACTGTCCACTTACTATGTGCTGAATCCAAACAGTTTATAACATGGCCTGGCGTCCTACTATCATTTCTGTCAATATTTTTAATTGTTCTAACTTGTATACATTACTTGTGCATATGTATGGACAAATCTTAGTGCTGTCTTGTTCTTTACTGATCCAGGAATGCTTAGAAGCCTTTGCCTCTGCGGCAGAATCCCGGTTTGGTTGCCTGCTTGTGGGTGGTCATGTCCTGTGTGCAACTGAACAGTGGTGGCAGCTTGCAGCCCCAGAGGCCATGCTGCTGGTGTGGCTGGTACGCTCCCTTCCTCCACACACTTCCCGCGATCTGCCTGTTTACCTTCCCCAAGGCAGTCCCACGGTGAGCAGGTTACAGATTTGAGGAGGAAGTGGGGATGTGTAAGTCTGTATTTCTAATTTTCCCTGTCCCTTTGTTCCAGTAGGTTCCCCACCGTTTTCTGACTTTGCAGCTTGTGCCTGATTTGGAAGTAGTGTTGCTCTGTGGGCCTAATCCCTCCTTACAATGCCTGGCTGATGAAGTGAGTGTGCTGTATCTCAAAGTTATCTGATCTGTTTATCTAGAAAAGAGCAGTTTGTCAATCTTCCAGTGACCCCCTCCCTAAAGTACATCTGGAACTGATCCATCTATTGGTTAAATCTACTGCTCTATTGTCCACTGCTGACTTGCATGGGGGATTTAATGAAGGAGGCACACTTAAAGTTAGTAGTGTGCAACTACTTCAGATTAAGGGCCACAATGCAGCCTTCCAAACTACTGTGGGTGGTTTGGAAGGTAACATTGGTAACCTTTTTCACTTGACTTTGGGGATATTTAAGGATGGGAATGGGAGCGCTTTGTTTCATGGAGGCTTTTGCTCTCACTCCCACCTTTTAAAGTCCAGAGAACTCAAAAATCAACAATATTGGCCATTTGCTGCTGAATTTCAGTAGCATGATTTCAGGGTGCTGGGGGTTGCCTACAGGGTATATAAACAGCAAGACTCCTATTGATCCACGGAGTCAGGGCCAAATGTCTCTTGCCAGCTTTTCTTTCTTTCCATAGCTAGTGAAGCAGTTTTGGCAACCACTGCTGGATCTGCTGAAAGCAAGTGCCAGAGGACCTGCTAGATGTCTACCTCCTGGCATTGTGCTTTCTCCTGGTATCCTGGGGTGAGTCTCAAATTTCTGGGAGGTCCAGGAAACCAATTTCCTTTAGAACGTGGGTTCATTGTTTGTTACATCACTTTCCATCCTCTCTTTTCAAAGTCTCCTCTGGTGTTTGGGATCGTACTTTTACCATTCTGTTCCCAGATGTAAGCCATGGGCTCATCTTTTACAGGCTGCTGCTAATTAATCAAGGCCAAAGGAAAAGCCTCTTTACAGTGCATCCTCATGGAGCTTCAACTGAAGGTATGGTTTGTACATTCTTATACTAGGAGAGAGAGGACAAATCAGGAACCCCTGCTATTTTAGAAATTATGAAAATCATAAACACTGACAATTTACGCCATATAAAAGGGTGGCCTACTAAAATCTCACCCTGATTCCTTCCTTCCTTCTAATAGGACCCGAAATGTCCACGAAGAATCGGCTCTGTGCCCTCCGTTCTTTCTATGCTTTAGCTACTTCCTTATACTTCCCTTATGAGAAGCAAGAAGAAAACACAGGTACATTCCCACCTATTCTGTTGAGAAAAAATATTTGCACACTGAACTTTTAACTTTTCAGTATTCCTATAAATTGGAAGAATTCCTGTGTGACTGAAAGAATCAATAGGCACTGAGATATTACCCAATTTGTGCTTGTATTGCACATGCACAAATTAGGTGGCCATATAAATTCTTTAATAAATAAAACTAAAATAATTGAAAGGTTACTTCCTTGTTAAAGTAAATAGCAGCAATTAGCATTCTTTAATACCTAATAGTACATGCCACAATTGATCTTTTTGTTGTATTTCTTTGGAGCACTTATACCAAACCTGAGAGGTTCCTATAGAACATAATCATATTGTCTTTTCTCCAGTGCCTCTGCAGGAAGACTTCCATGCTGGCTTCTCCCATTGTCCTCAGCACTGTTATACGGTCTACACTACGCACAAAGCCTATGCTATCCATGGGAGACAGCACCAGCTCTTCCTAATCTTGAAGTCAGATGTACCTACCTTTGCTTTGCGATCCTTGGCAACCTGCACACTACAGGCTCTCACAGCTGAGGATTCGGCCTTTTGAGTTGATCTTGCTGAACTCTGTGATGAAATCCGTGGTGGTGAGCTAGAGCCCCTCAGTGTGGTTAGAATGACATTTTTTCAACCAAATTTTATGGCGAAATTTTCTCTGTGCAAACAATGATTAGGCTGCAGAGGAGGAGTCTGAATTTGTGGAAGCACTTTCAGAAATAGGAGAAACGTAATAATTCAATGCAATTCCATTCTACTTCCATTCTCTTATATAAGTAGCAGGTAGTAGGACTAACAATGGCTGTAAGTGATGACTAGTTTTGTCTTTGGTCTCTACTCTCCATATGTTTAATAACAACATTGGTAAGAATTTTGTCTCCCATAACTGTCTACGCATTATGCACTAACAAAGGTGCTTGGACCAGTTTTAGCCACAGCCATAATGTGTACATAGAATTCAGCAGTTAATCTTGAACTGCACTGTGACAGAGTTAGAGATATTGAACCAAACTTTCTGTTTAAATACATTTCAGCATAGGAACTACCTCTCATGCATTCACCATGAAGGTGCAGTGTGTGTGTGTATCAGTGGGGGGTGGGGGGAAGAGATTTGATGTTAACTGAAATTGGTAACACCCTCCTCATTTACAGCCAGCTGTTTATAACACTATGCATTTGCTTCTGTCATTCTTTCATTAGAACATGCAAGGAACAAAAACCCTTGATCACATATGAGTATTTTTTTTCATTACTTTGTAACCGAAAGTGTATTGAGTAGGGCCATTTCAGTCTACATACCTTGAAATGTTCTCTTGAGTTTTGAGGGAGTTAAGCCAACCAAGTCAGGAGTCCAAATGCACAAGAGAGACTCTCATTTGCATCATCCCTTCTATATCTTGGACACTGAAGTGTGTCGGGGGGAGGGGGGAAGTCACCACAGTGAAGGGTACTTTCTTTTTCAAGGACCTTCGTCATGAGGAAGACACTTACCTGTTTATGTTGGCCTTAGCTGTTGGAGATCTCAGAGGGAAAGTAATGAGAAAGTGAAGTTTTGCAAAGACTGTGCTTTCTACACCTAGGCAGGAACATAACTGGAAAGACCAGAGTGCTGTCTTCTACTCTCTTAATTGTTACACTTTTTAAAACTGTATCTACTGGTGGGAGTGAGAAAAGCACCAGACTTTTCAAAATGCCTTCCTTCACTACAGGTAGACCTCACGGCAGTAATTGGGATTGGAATTTCTGTCGCTAAGTGTCATGGTTGTACAGTACAACGTTACATGACTGCACCACGTAGCAACAGAAATTCCAACACATCCGGTTGCCATTGTTAAGCGAATCCTATGCCATCATTAAGTGAGGACATCACATGGTCAGCATTTGTGACCTCCTGCCAGCTTCCCCATTGATTTGCTTGTAGATAGCTGGCAAAGAAGGTTGCAAATGGCGATCACGTGACTCTGGGACACTGCAATATCATAAGTACAAGGACCAATCATGAGTGCCACTCATTCAGTGCCGTCGTAAGTTTCAACGGTCACTGAACAAGTGGCCTATAAGTGAGGACCACCTGTATAGAAAGACAATTTTCTTCTGCATATATATTTGCCTTTCTCTGTGCAAAGGAAGACAGAGTAAGCTTCTACACTTCTCACCACATGGAGAAAGCAATTCTGGGACAAGTTTGGGTCTAGTGAAGCTAAGGTCTTAAGTTTATATGTAACTAACTTGATACAACTTAGCTGAACATCCTACTGCAAATGCTAGGGCCAGGCATGCTGTGAAAATATAGTGCATAGCATGGGACCCTTCTCTATCCATTTCCACCCTGTCCACATATAAAGAGCAGTATACAACAAATCAGTCATCGGTGTGGGGGTGACCCAGCCTGGCTTGATTCTGGCTCTCCCCCACCCTCACGGTTTTATTAGAGTCACATGGAGATAGATACAGGCATTCAAAACCCAGATAAACTAAGATGCGCTAGATAACACCTACACAGCAGAGTAACATGGAGCCCGGGCCAGCATGGGAAGCTGGGACACCCCCAAACTAGCATGATCTGAACCCTCCCCCTCCCTTTTCCAAAATGCATGGAGGGCAACATTCCAGAGTCCATCTCCCAAACTCTTGCACCTGCTTGAGGCACCCTTTCCTGGGAATTGAAGAGATGGTGAGGGGAGGCAGAAGAGGAAAGAAAAGGCCTCTTTTCCTCTCCACCTTCATGTAGTTTTCCTTCTAGAGCCAAGGAAAGAGGCAGGTTTGCTGTCAGAATTACTTTCCCACAAATACACGCAACTGTAACACTGGAATGGTCCATAGCAAAGGAAAGGGAGAATTTACACCCCCATCTCTGGGGGAAACACACAAGGCAAAGAAACACAAAACGACCGCCTACAAGAATTTCCCCCTCCTCCCCATACACCCACATAATCCTGTTCCTTCCCCCCAGCCAGCTCAAGGGGAGCCAGGGAAGCTGACCCCTTCCTCAGAGGAAAGGAGAAAGTCCATGGGTGGGAAAGTAAAGGTACATATTGTAAACAAAACTAAAATGCCAGCCTAAATCATATAAAGTAGTGGTAGTGGGGGAATTAAGACCACAAATTTCAGCCTCATCCCAAGTTAGAATGGACCAGCTTACAGCATGGGAGAAAAGCTAGCTTTCTTCCAAAAGCTGCCCTTCTGCCCAAGGGGATGATTACTGCTGGAAGAATGCCCTGCACCAACACCCATCATCCCTCCCCCTCCCCAATTTGACTTTGTCCAACCAAGGGTCCATATTCTTGCTCCCCCTTTGCTTATCCCCCTTGGTGCTGGCCCGGGCTAGGCAATGAGAACACAGAGGTTATCACAACAACAGGCAGGGAGCAGTACAGTCTTTCTGGAGGCCCCTGGTTTGGAGAGAGGTGGGAAGAGATGGACAGAGGCATCTAGTGTGCAGGAATGGCCTCCCCTTCCTCTGGTGTGGCAGATGCCTCAGAACTGCTGAGAGAGCAGCTCACAAAGGTGCTTTGAAACAGACTCCTTACTGGTACGGAGGGTCAGCCGGTACATCTGCAGGAAGGATGAAGGAAAGGAGGTTAAAAGAGAAGAGCTCAAACAATATGTCACTTCAGTTGTCCACAGGCAGTTTGGGGCTTTGGTAAGCTTTCAGCTTTCCCCCTTCTTCAGTTTTATCTATATTTCCTGCCGCTTCCCCAGAGTGCCCAGAAGTCTCAGTTTTCCAAGTTTTTTGCTTTTTATTTCAGCGCCACCTGTATGCCAGAATTCAAGCTTTCAGTTCCAGAGGTCTCAGGAGCCCTTGCTTCCTCACCTGTGCCTGAGCATTGGGTTCCAGTCGCAGCAAGCATCCAACCTGCAATGCTTTTGTCTGGATGATCCCAGCTCCTACGTAGTTATCAGGGTTTGGATCCACTTTCTCCAAGAGTGCACTGCCAAAACCTAACAGCTGTAGGAGGAAGAGACTGGTGTTTAATCAAGTTTACACAATCACTGGAGAGGGTCTCACTGCAAATTATGCCCCTCTTAGGAAGCTATTAATGGGAAAAAGATACAGTCAGATCCAGAAATATTGGGACATCGACACAATTCTAACATCTTTGGCTCTAT